GACCCCTTTTACCCCCAAAGTCCTTGCTGCGTTGATTTACAAGTTGATGGGATTGGGGTGAGGGTTTCCATGTGCTCAGGCCCAACTTCCTCTTTCTGGTTTGAGTCCTTTGTTTTTTCCTTAACGACTTGCTTCCTTCTTATCTACCTCCCTGAAGGGATCTCATGGATAAGTTTCCTGGCTTTTGCCCTCTCTGCTTACCTGCCTGCTTCATCTTTAGGTTATGGCAGCTTCAGCCTAGTCTCACAAAGGTGGTTTTCCAGCTTCCCAGTCCTAGGCTTTCCTACTAGTCCTCCCATCCAAGTATAAATCAGGTCCAACCCTGCTTAGCTTTTCAAGATGGGCTAAGGACAAGGAGAAGATGCCACCAAGTTGGGTTTTGGAATAATATGAAACATAATTGGGTATGCAAGTGGCTCGGGACTCTCTCATTGAGAAGAAAACCAAGCCAGTAATAATTGGTCCCCGATATATTTTTTGAATAAAATCCAGCTGCTGGGCTATTAAAAGAATATGCATTCCACGTTAAACTGAGAATATCAACAACCATTTATATATGCACCTACGCTTGCACCGTTATCAGAATTGCAACTTCCAACAGAAAGAACAGAAATACGAATGCCTCTTGCAGATAACACTACCCAGAGCCTCTTAGTAACTACAGTTGAGATAAAAGGGATCCTTCTGTCAGAGAGATTATAGGAAATGATTCCTGAACAAGTGCTGGTTGAATACGCCGTTTTAATGAGAAGCACCATAACAGCACTGTTTTGTGAAGCATTAAACAATTTGGTTTTAAATCCAGCACACTCGCTGGTAGGAAAACTTAGAAAAATATTCTCATTTCAGCTTTCGTTCTATATAACTTACATCTGAGCATACGTGTATAAGGCTAGGTTATCAATGCATTTTAAAAAGAACAAGATGCCCAAGAAATATATCGTTTGAGCCTTTCTGTCTCAGACTTTACTTCCAATTCTCCTGAAGTTTTTAAAACAGAAAGGCGCAGCTGCCAACAGAGGGAGGCAAGAGACTGACTATTCCATGGCATGGAGTCTAGTGTGCAGTGTCAGTCCCTAACAGCAAACCAGTAAATGCTGAGTCAAAACTGCATGATGTCACAAAGAGTAATGCCATGTGTGTGCCAGCATCTGCCAGGTCTCTTAACCCTAAAATGAAATGATAATTACTGCACCAGACAGGGCAACTTAGCATGAAGGGCAAAGCGTTGCTGTTCTGATGATCACCAATACGCCGAGCTTTTAAACACAGATCACCAAGATCTCTTAATTTCTTTGCACTTTTATAAATAAATCGCTGTATTATCCCATGGTTACATTACTCTGAGAAATAGTATTTCCATACTGAAATACCGTTTAAATAACTGAACATCCCCTCATGCAGAAAACAATTTTGCTATTGCACCAATTTTGTCTGTATTGTACACGCTCCGTTATTTTTTGTTGGGTTTTTATGCCGTTTTACATTAATTTATGCCGCTCTATTGGTTGTAAGCCGCCCAGAGTTGCTTTAAGGTGGGCGGCCGTACCAGTGTTTCAAATGAATAGACAGACAGCTGATCTTAATTGTGCCGAAAGAGATAAAAAGGTACATGGGATGGTTAGAAGGTAAAGTCTCCCCCGATCAAGCTCGATTCTTGACGCGTCAATGTCTTTGGGGGCGTTTCTGCAGCCCGAAGATTTCATGGTGGTCCCCCATCCAGCACCGGCCCTCGGAGGGCGTCAGGGCGGCCCTTCCTCTTCTTCCCTGAGCCGGGGAAGCCCTCCCGCTCGGGGCGGCACAGGCCCTGGCTCAGCGCAGGGAAACTGAGGCAGAAGTCGCTCAGCGCCCCCCCCCCACGGCCCCTCCTGACGGCTCGCTATTCCTCAGGGAGGCCCAGGAGGAATG